AAATTATTTCATTAGGATTAATTTCTAAAATTGGCTGTTTTAAGGCTTTGTGTGCAAATCACATTCCCAAAAACATTAAACCAATTTATATTCTTACTGGCAGTAATGACAGTCTCTGTCTTAATATATTCCCCTTTCTGAAGCATTGGCTGGCATTTTTTATAAATTTCTTGATTAATATTTTTTCTCAAAAAATCTTTTCTTTCCAGTAGAAGTAAACTATCTTCCATATTTATTGAGAATTTGGGTCTAAGAACTTCTCACTCTATGATGTGTTAAAGATTGCTCCTAACTGCAAATTGGCCAGGCCAGTGGCTCCCACCTATAATCCTAGCACTCTGGGAGGCCGAGGCAGGAGGAATGCCTGAGGTCAGGAGTTCAGAGACCAGCCTGAACAAGGGCAAGACCCAGTCTCTACTAAAAATAGAAAAGCTTAGCCAGTTGTGGTGGTACATATCTGTAGTCCCAGCTACTTGGGTGGCTGAGGCAGGAGGATCGCTTGAGCCCAGGAGGTTGCTGTGAGCTAGCTGATGCCACAGCACTCTAGCCCGGGCAACACAGTGAGATTCTGTCTTGGAAAAAAAAAAAATCTCTTTTTAAATACCATACCACAAGCCTTTTTGCCTACTATTTTCTGGCTTATATAAATACACTTTACTGACTTGCCTCTTCAGTTAAAAACAAAAATCAGACAACTGGGCTTGTGAGTTTTAAGACCTTTGAGCTTAAAAATCTGCTCCTTACCAGCAACATATCTTTGGGGGTTTATTATAAATGACTTTGTACTTGCTTCCTTTTTTGGAGATGTCCTCTTCTATTATTAGGTAATATGCAAGAAGGTGATAATAAAACTTAAAACGTGATAAAGAGACAAGTTCCCTTTAATATGAGCAAAGAAAGAAAAACACAACTCTGGATATACAAAAATGGCCAAAGTAGTAGTTTTGCTACTTTTCAATTCATTCCTAAAAAACAAAATTTGTGGTCAGGCACCATGGCTCATACCTGCAATCCCTGCAAATTGGGAGGACAGGGCAGGATGATCGCTTGGCCCCCGGAGTGCAAGACAAGTCTGGGCAACATAGCAAGACCCCATCTCTACAAAAATAAACAAAATTAGCTGGGTGCGGTGGTGCGGTGCCTGTAGTCCCAGCTACTTGGAAGGCCAAGGCAGGAGGATTAATTGAGCCTGGGAGTTTGAGGCTGCCATGAGCTGCAGTTGCATCACTGCTCTCCAGCCTGGGCCACAGAGCCAGACTTTGTCTCGAAAACCAAAACCAAGGCAAATGAACAAAAAAATTTGCCCTGCTATTCTTACAGGACAGAAGTACTAGAAAAAGAAGTTGTATCTTTACTATAACCTCTATCTAGTTATGTCATAATTTTCAGACACTGTCCAGGAGCTAACCCCAGTTTGGATAGAGTTGCTACCTACAAGTAGATAGACAATAATCAATTTCTACGATAAACTGACAACTTAAACAGTTGACCTTATGCTCTGGGACATACAAGAGCAGCCTCTGAAGAAGACACAGCTCACGTGTCTAGAAAGTGGTTTCCATTATCTAGATTCCAGATACTCAGCTAAGGACCAGGGAAGAGCTGCCAAATAAGAGGCTGCCAAGTCCATACATAAAGAAGGTCCCCACCACCCTCATTCACTGTTTGTTTATTTTTATTTTCTACATCATTGCAACAAACTCGCTGCCAATGGGTTTTGGTTTTGGTTGGGGGGGTTGTTTGTTTTTGTGTCCTTAGACACAAGACAAGAACCAGTGTGTTATTAGAAGGGGGAAGGGGGTTACTGCCACAGGCACACGTGGATGAGTCGTAAATTACAAATGAGTGCGGAATCTGCTGGGATCCGTCTAGGTGGCTTCAACAGTAAGATTTGTCCTCTCACATATGGAGTCATCCAGAAGCAAGAGGGTTCCAGGGTGGCTCAACAACGTCCCAAATCCTTCCCATCTTTCTATGTGGCTGTTTTCATCATATCAACTTGCCTGCCCTCACGGTTACAAGTGATCGCAGCAGGTCCAGATGTCACACACAAACACAACCGTGTACTGCCAAGAAGGGGCTTATTTTCCTTCTGCACATTGCTTTATATTATAGAGAAAAAACTAAGTCCCCAGCAGACGTTCTGAGGTCTCTTGCCCTGCATGGCTTCCCACCACCACCTCCACTACCTTCCCAACCACTGAAGCTGCTAGATACTGGGAAAACCACTAGCTAATATTTTCAGCTTTTGTAGTGGCAGGTGACATTTGCCAGCAGAGTTGGGAATGCTATAGGTAGGAAAAAATGCTTATTTTATATTGTTGTGTAGCAAAGCCTGTATGCTTTATAAGGACTTTTATATAAGGGACTTTTTAATATAAGTCCTGACACGGACTTATATTTTTCTTCAATTACGTTTGTGAAGTAATCTTAGGGGGTTGGCCAGGCTGGGTCCTAGGTACAGGACTGCGTAGGATACAGAGCAAGGAGATGCATTTCAAGTCAAATCCATAGCAAAGTTTAACAAGAGGTAGGTTAAGCAGAAGGAAACAAAGGAAA